CACCTTGTACACATCATCACCGCGTACACATCATCACCGCGTACACATCATCACCGCGTACACATCAGCACCTTGTACACAGCAACACCTTGTACACATCAACACCTTGTACACATCAACACCGTGTACACATCAACACCGTGTACACATCATCACCTTGTACACATCAACACCTTGTTCACATCATCACCTTGTACACATCAACACCGCGTACACATCATCACCTTGTACACATCAACACCACGTACACATCATCACCTTGTACACATCATCACCTTGTACACATCAACACCGCGTTCTGTTGTTTGGTTTGCTTCCCAAAAACGTGAACCGAGCAACCATGGCGGACAAAAGGACGTTGTTGGCGGAATAACGACGTCAAGTAAATATAGTGCAACATTGTATTGCAAGGCAAGACAATTGATTGTCTTAATTAGGTATGTGATAGATAGAATTACCACACGTATCTAAATCGTCGCTAGACTTGCTCACCCATTGGTCGTTAGTGTCCGCCACCTTGTCGGCGTGTCGCCTCTTCATTGCGTCAAGGTCATCCAGCTTTGCGAAGAGGTCCTCTCGTGCCCAGTCTGATGTTGTAAACATTACAAAAAGGACCAAGAGAGCTAATTATTTATTTTCTTTGTATCCTCCGATATTTACAGTTATCAAACTTTGTGTGTATATACTCATTGCAAACGTCGATGTACGTTACATACATGTATACATCGGCTACCTTAGGATATAATATTGACGCATTTAGCCATTGTTTCAAAATTGACAACGCGTACGGAAGAGTGTCCTATCGCCTATCTACTGCATACATGCCTTAAAATGTGATTCTCGTCTTCAAACCAAATCATTACCCCTACATTCCCATAAAGACAATAACAGTGTAGGTCTTGTTATGGAATTAGGAAATTTAGTATTTATTCCAATTAATGTCGCAGAAACGTAATAGGCATAACCATTAACAAGACCAGCGGGTAAGCTTGTTGTTTTGATCAAATGGTCAGGGATCGAAACAACGGAGATACATAAAATTTACATAAAATTTGATTATCATGATTATATTTCTTTAGTACGTTTAGCTACGGTTAAAATGGACAAGCATCTCCATGTGAGCAAAAATGCTGAAGAAATATTAGAACTCTTTATCGTGAGATATACAACACAGGTTGCTTGGTACCAACATATCCTATAGTACGGTTCATGCCTCAATCGTTACGTTTGAAAACAAGGGACCTATTATATGCCCCATACCCGATATAACGACCTTGACCCCGTGTTACCGGTAAGACGTCTCTCTGTCGCTACATCCTCCTCGTCCCCCTGTAGCTGACTCGAGTCGAGCTCTGCCCATGCATCCTCAGACGACAGGAAGCGTATCTCTGTGTTGATGTCACCTACACAGAAGGACGGAAATACAAATATATAACACATGCTTGCGATATATTTTCGATTAAATAATAAACTATTCAGAGTCAATCATTTAGCCAGTTGTTTTGCATATTGGCATTCCATACAATTTACGTGACAAAAATCTGTCAAGTTTACGTTAACGTTATTTCTCCATGTGATCCGATGTTTTTTCTTTTTTCTCATCTTAATTTTGATGGAAAATTATCCAGCTCCTGTTTTCGGTATTATTTATGTAATTATCCAATTATTACTACGAAGAGTAAATTACTCAAATAATATTTTTACCGAATAAAATGAGAATTGCGACAGAATCACATCTAATTACGAGCAGAACCGTTACAATTTTTTCTGTGTGTAATCTGTTTTTTAATATCTAAACAGTACAGTACAGTACTGTGTTTTAGTGTATTCTGTGTTATATTACGTTTTATAATACGCAATTTACTTTTTTCTCGCTGTAGTTCCCCACACATGCGGTCAAGGTCGAGCATGCGAGTGTTGTTTTCTAGCATGTGTTTGTCTATGGCCCTCAAGGTCACCTGGAACTGATGCATACTGCTGGACATCTGCTGTATCTTACTTCCGGCTTCCTTCAGACTGCTATGACGTTTTTCGAGGTTAGCGTTCAGATCAATGTTTACCTCTCGGAGATGGTTGAGTTTATCACGAAGGTCCATAATGGCCTCGTTAGGAGTCTCCAAATCGTCTTCGACCACATTGGACGCCATTACGACCTGGAACATTTTGCATTGTAACAGGAGAAGGGAAATTACACGGCTTTACCGGAACCAGGGATCCTCCGAATTCTAGACGGACGCTCTACCAATATTGAGCTACCTGGTCGCAGACGATCGACCAAGTCCACTTCCGTTACAGCATTTTACAACTTTCATAGGCCAACTTAATGATATTGTATGGAATGAAGATGATCTGACTCATCAAAAATTTAGAACAGAACTTTCTCTCTGAGGACGAAATATATATAAATAGGCCTAGTGTCAATAGGCCTACTTTGTTACTCACATTGCCCGCCAATATTTGGTAGTAAAAAGACAAACGTATTTGCCCGCCAAATTGAAATTCATGAATTGCGAACTTGTGTTCAGATTTAGAATGCGTATTTTAAGCTGATAACTTACCCCTTGACAACAAACAAGAGTTAGCTCTCTTGGCGTATGAACAGCTTTTCAATATCAACAGGAATAGTCAACAGAACTTGAACTACGCAACGTAACGTTGTGCATTATGAGGTCATAGATTTCTGTGTAACTTTAACTATGACGTCACAATGCAAAGCTGATGAAATGATCGAATGTACGTCACAATTAACCAGAACGTCGCATGACGCTGGCTCCTTGAGACTACGTCAAACACGTAAAAAAACTTACTGACGAGCAGCAAAGAAATGATGAGAGCATCGATAAATTAGACAAAATTATTTTCAATCTTTCTTTCGCGCAAGCTGAGAAATCGTAATCGATATCTGATCAGTTTATTAACTTAAATTGGTAGTAAATTATAATCCCCATCTCGCTTGAATAAATATTAAGAAGACTATTTTACTGCGAGTCGGCACTTTTTGCCCATTTCCCCCGTTTTCCCAGTGTATGGCAAATATGAACCGTAACAAATTATTGAGCCTAGTAAACAACGGGAATTAGACCAGGTGTTCCTGAAGGGTAAGCGTCTTCTGCTTTATTGACGACACCCGTCATGTAAATATGGTTGAAGTCAGTGACAACAAACAACCAGGCACGCTACTGAGTATAATGGGGGGAAAACATCGACCCTCATATCTCACAAAGAAATAGCAGATTTTCAAATGAGAACTAATGGCCATCATAACACTTGTCCATGAACTCTATCAAGCTGCATCTTTGGAAACCCCGTTGTTTGTCCGTCAGTAGCCGGCATCTATCCGGAAATTATGATATTTCGAGCAAGGTCTTGAAAAACGAATCATCTGCTTTTGGTAAGCGCAGATGTTACTGTGAGGAAAGGAAAAACTCACCATCGAAAAATCAAAATCATCACGTTTATCGTACGGTTTAGTTGTACGCCGTCCCTATTGATCATGTCTTAAATAAGATCGAGGAACCATAAGGTTATAACAAACTTAAGCTTGCTTATTCCCAATCAATAGTTGTTGCTCTTCAGATTGGCCTGTCTTGGTACCATTTCTCTCCGCTAGGCTTCTCATAGTTACATGATAGCAGAAAAACGACGGCAGGTGATTCAGTCTTTCGTTCTATACAGGAGTGATACATTGTAAATGGTATGAAATACAACGCTACAGAACTATGTCGCCATCCGAATCGTCACCAACATTTTGTAATATTTCATATGTGATAAATACTATTGGTGTCTAATATATTTCTATTTTCTTCAAAGATTTCAAACGACGTGTGTGCCGTTTCCACAAGTTAGATCTATACACACAATAAAATGTATGTGATATATCATAATTATATATCACGTATTTCCTGCTGCCTACTAGACACAAATATATGTATTTGATGTGAAGAAATACCATCACAATGCCAGAATTGCCAGTCCCTTTATTGGGTCAGTCTTCACGTTATCATAAATCAATTTCATATTAAACTTTTATTGGAGTTTTAGGGTGTTTAGATGGTCGTTATGTTTCGCTCCGTTTTCCTCGGTCAATACTCAATACGCTATTTCCATAATTTCCTCGTCTAATCGGCGAAGCATTGATCATACGTCTGTAAGAGATAAGCGGTGACACTTTTCATGACTTCTAGCCCGTATTGGACCCTCGCGAGAATACATACCAGGTTAGACGATTTATCAAGGACATAGCGGGTGTTTTTAACTTCGGTGATAAATTCGCCGGTAAATATGTTTTCAGCATATCAACAAACCGCTACTAATGACTCACCAGCAAACTAAACCTTGATGTTTTATGTTTATCCAGGGTCAACATTAACTGTAAACTAATAAAAAAAAGCCCCACTCAAAACAAAAATTAATTTACAATGATCATCATCACTTTTAACGGCAAGCTGTAATGTATTTCCGACATACTCCACGCGTGTATCTCCATTTACTTTCATTACAAATGTCAAAATTAATCTTTGGTGCTTCGTAGATGGAGATGGATTCAAGTGTATGGCATTCTGTACAATGCGTTAGTCCAAAGCGAAAGAAAAAAAATATAAATCAAAGACTAGAGTTATATTAAATAAAATATGGAATGCATGAAAACATTTAATATATGGACAGAAACAGACAACATTCTGGTTGTTTTTAAATTCGTAATAAAAAGGTATTAAGCTTATGCTATATTTTATTGCCAATATATTGCAGTAATACAACTGATATACATAATACAAAGATTCGAAAACGAGTACAGGGTACTTATATATAAATATATAAATCTCCTTACATTCATTAAGCGGCGATAGGACGGCATCGGCTGTTGGTAGATATTTGGTTTGGTAGTTGTCAAATGTAGCAAGCTATAACTAGCTATTTTGAGAATGAGTTAAGTTAATGCAATTTGTGTGAATATATTTAACCATGCAACTTATATAAGTTTAAATGTGTATTTAAAACAAGTGTTTATGTTACAACCACAAAGTACACGGGACAATCGAGTAACAGCCATCGTTGTAGGATAACATTCCGTTGCTGAAATAAAAGGCAATACAATTATGTTTAAAAAATCAGAAAAAAATCTGTATCATTTTAATCCGTTTCTATAGATGTTTCATTAAGTTGATCTAGATTATTGTAATTCGGTTGCCCCGTTTATGTGTCCTTGTTCAGTTACTTTGTCTAAGAGGGAATGTATGTATTGAAGCAATATTTGTAATTGTAAGTTTCCGGTCGATTTAATTGAAACAAATTCTTAATTACAATGTAAATATCGGATAGAGTGGACAACATACGAGAAAACAGTTCGTATACAGTTATGTTTCTACGACTTTACGGGGGATTTTTTGGAATCCGACCCCCTGTCACTGTATGATTGGGTGATTGATACGAAACTATCAAGAATACTTCATCAACATTAATTTGTAACACACGATCATTAATTTACAAATTGAGAAATCAGTCTTTTTGTAGACTTTGAGCTATGAACACGTGCACATGCACGTGATCTTACCGATAAGTTGTCGATGTGTAATGTTAAACATTTTAAAGTATGTTGTTTTAATGAATTTTCTTATCATGCTCCAATATTTGTTTCATTAAACTGTCACAAGACAGAAAACAGAGGTTGTAAATGCTGTTCTGACGAGAATAGGTATTCTACTGTGTCGAACGTAGTGTGGTCTGATGAAGCAAAAGACAACAGATATATTTTTGACAATAGAATTTTGATTGAGAGCTCTATCGATCAGCTAATTAACACAAAAGAAAGTATTGATGAGTGTTTGGAAAAATGCTAAAATGTACACGTACTTTGTTTGACAAGTTTTGCTTACGTAAGCGAAAAGTATTAAATTGTTTATGTACCTGTCATTATGTAAATGTCACTAAGAAAGAACCAGATAAACCATGGTTCGATATAAACTGTAACAGATTATATAACAATTATAAAATTGCTTTATCCATTTTTAATAGAGACCGATCATTGGTTAACAGGGCAAGTCTCTCTGAGGCTAAAAACGCTATAAAGTTTGTGAGGCGAAGTTAAAGCGCGCCTATTTACGAACGGAAGGAAATATGATGGACGTGTAAAAACGTAACAATCCAAAAGAATTTTATCGAATTTTTCTGAACGGAAGGTATGTGGCACTGGTGATTTATCATTAAACGATTGTTTTCAATATTTTATAGATCTCGCTGGGGAACCCTACTCTTCGGATCATGATAATAGCTTGAATGGTAAAAATACCGATTGTGTGTTTCCTGAACTAGATCTGGATTTTAGGTTTGATGAAATACTTGTTGTAATTAAGAGTCTGTCTAAAGATAAATCAGCAGGTATAGATATGATACTTAATGAATATTTGATTGAATATAAAGATATTTTTGAACCAGTTCTGCTTAAGTTGTTTAATAATATGTTGAAAGTAGGATATTTCCCTCAAGCTTGGGCACGGGGTGTAATTATTCCTTTATATAAAAAGGGAGATAAAAACAATGTTAATAATTATAGGGGAATTACCCTTCTTAGTCATGTAGCTAAATTATTTACTAGTCTATTAAATAAAAGATTGCTAAAATGGAGCGAATCGGAGTGTGTGGTTACAGATGCCCAACTTGGGTTTAAGCCTGGTCTTGGTACACGTGATGCAATATTTGCATTACATAGTTTAATTACAAATACTTTACAACAAAATAAAAGGCTTTATTGTGTATTTGTTGATTATAGGAAATCTTTTGATTGTGTTACTCATGACAAACTTTGGCTTAAAATATGGAGAAGTGGAATTAGGGTAGATTGCTGAATGTACTTAAGTCAATTTATGAAAATGTAAAATCTTGTACAAAATTAAGCGGGAAATTTTCTGCTATGTTCGATATACATGTAGGACTTTTACAAGGGGAGGCTTTATCGCCCATGCTGTTTTCTTTATTTGTTAATGATATGGAAAGCGGTCTTATTAATTCTAATTGTCAGAGTTATCAATTACAACTATTAAATCTATTTCTTATAATGTATGCTGATGACACAGTTTTATTTTCAGAAGATATTAACGATCTTCAAAATATGTTAGATCCTTTGCAAGATTATACTGAAAAATGGAGCTTAACGGTTAAAAGTGAAAAAACAAAAATAGTTATTTAAAAAAAAAATGCAAACGGATATTACCTAATGAAAGTTGGAAATTTAATGAAAGGACCATAGAGGTCGTAGATCAGTTTTGTTATTTAGTATTAGTCTTTAATTATAACGGAAGGTTTGAAAATTGAAAATGTTTACCTTCTTTTTCTGAAAGAAGTATCGAATGTAAAGAAAACCGTTAATAGTTCTATGGTGTATTTTGAAACGGGGAGATATTCATTACAGGTACAGCGTAAAATTACAATCATATAATATTGGTTAAAATTGATAAAAACTAACTATTGTGTTTTAAAATCATGTTATGATGCTTTATTTGAGTTACATATCAGAAAGCCCAATTGTAAATTAAACTGGATTTATCAAGTTGAAAACGATTTATGTAGATTTGGTTTTAACCATATTTGGATTGCTCAAAATGTACAAAATGAAAGGCAGTTTTTGGAATTGTGTTCTCAACGCTTGCATGATATATTCATTTAAGAATTACGTAGTGCATTTGATAAATCTTCAAAATGTGACTAATAAAACCGCTTGTTGATAATTTTCAAATTCAATTTTACTTAACAAAGCCATTAACTTCTAGTATCAAAAAATCATTGAGTAAATATCTCATGCAAGCACACTGTCTTAATATTGAGTCAGGACGTTACAATGCCGTCCCAAGAGGCCAAATAATATGTACTGTCTGTAACAAAAATGAGGTAGAAGATGAGATGCATTTTATACTTTGTCCAGCTTATTCTGAGTTAAGAAATACATATTTAAAACAATATTATTATCGACATCCTAGTGTCTATAAATTGATTGAATTATTTTCATGTAAAAATGTCAAAACTTTAAGTAAACTTGGTAAATATTTATTGCATGCAACTGCCAAAAGAAACCATGTGGGTCAGTAAAAATCTATATGTTAAATGTGAAACATTAATTATCCTTCACCATTTTGTATATTGTACTTTATTATGAACCATGTGTGATGTAACTGTATAACCTACATGCTGTATTGCATTTGGTAAATAAAAAACTTGAAACTTGAAACTCAGGCAAAAAAAAAATACCAGTGAACACATGAGCGAATATTGACATCAGTAGTTATTGTGGTATATTGATTGTGTGGTTACAACATGTTACGCTGGGTGGTCAGTTCTGACAATGTCTGTACGTCACAGCTGTTAGACCTGTTTGTGCAGCATCATTACCTAACTCCAAACCTTGATGTCAGCAGGAACAGGATACATGCTGACATGTTGTATTTGGTATACATGCTAACAACCTTTACAAGTGTTTGTTAGACTGGTATAGAGGGATTTCCTTTCTTCCGATTTCCGTGGATGAAATAATAAAAAAAACCCTGCATATTCATCTGGCACACCAGTGTCACCGTCGTATTCTTTTTCTTATTAATTTTTGAGAAGTAAATCACGGTGTATAGTTTCAAATTTTTATTTCCTTTTTACTTGGTAAATGCTACGATTTGAGAAAGCATGCATGATAAGTTATTCTAATATTTTCGGTAGAACAACAGTTGTTCCATACCGTCGTTGCTGAATGCACATTTCGGATCATGATACGTTCTTAATAAACAAGGAAAAACAGCATATTAGGGGAAAACGAAGCATGACACGCGTTTTTTTGTGGGAAATATTAATTTCACTTGTGACCACAGTTAATCACTCCTACAATGCTCTTCTTGAACAATAGCTTATAAACAATTATTTCAAGTCGTAAATCGAAAATTATTTAAACAGGTCACAGGTACGCCTTCCATGTTAAAACTTATTTTTGTTTTCTCCAGAATAGATACTAATAGAATTATTATTTATATAAATCGTGTGTGTTTCACTCAGAAATATGTGCTGTTTAGGTAGATTAGTGCAATCTAGTTCATATAAATAATTTAAGGTAGATAGTTACAGCGTTCTGTGTTGAATCTCCTACTAAGAAGAGTTCCAATTTGTTGGTTTCTGACTTGGCATTGATTGCATATTTATCATAACAAATAAGATATAAAAAAAATCCAATAACACTCCTCTTGGTTAAAAAGCAAGAAATGTAACAAAGGCTTCTGAGCTACCGGTCATTTAACTTCTTATGATAATACTAATCTACAACATTACTGAGAATAATTTCTAAATCATTCTCCCTCTTGAAATACACAGTTGTCTTTGTATGACTGTTGAGGAAGGAATAACACAGGAAAACAACTGTTCAGTGTCCCCCTACAGCAGTAAAGTGTCTGAACTCACTACCTTGGTAGTGTCTGCACTCACTACCTTGGTAGTGTCTGACTCACTACCTTGGTAGTGTCTGCACTTGGTAGTGTCTGAACTCACTACCTTGGTAGTGTCTGCACTCACTACCTTGGTAGTGTCTGCACTCACTACCTTGGTACAACTAGTATTACAGTTGTTAATCAGATTATCTTAATAATAAATGTTTGGTATCAAATAATTTCACAAATAAAATCTGAAGGGAATATATTATTCTCTCTCAAAAAACTCATGTTTATTTTTTTTAATGTGTACAAGGTATATTTCAAATAGATTTATTTTTACAGATTTGTATAATGATGTGTAAATTAATGAAAATATTGTGATTTTAATAAGTCTTAGCTATGATTTCTTTGAAGTTTTTCATTTAAAAACATGTTTTATTGTACTTATATATTTGAATTATGGTTTATATAATTTTAACTCTTGTCCAACCTTGATGACAAATACCTTTTATTTATTTTTATAATATTAAGAAATTAAGCATATACTTCCTCCAGAAAGCACTTTTCAACCACCGATTCCTGAAAGTCATACAAGCTTTTTTTTCTTCTTTCTAAAACCCTAAATTAACTATTTTTCTTGTCCTACCAATTTGTTGGTCAATCAGTGTCTGTTTGAATTATACACCTTCAAATTACCACTTTCCTCTTTAGTTATTACAACTGACATGATACCATGCTAATTTAGGGGTCATAGTTCAGCTATTATGTGCCTGATTCTATCGGAGTCAGGAGAATTTTACATCTTCATCCTACCAAGCTCTGGTCCTCAGTTTTGTTTATGTGCTCTATACAGTGGTATCAGAATGAGTTTTGTCATTGTCTCTGATTTCTTATTGAATTTAGTGAAAATTTAAAAAGAATGTCTTCCTTTGCTTTCATTATGACTCCAACCTTTATCTTAACATTTTAATGTTGATTTCTATTTTAATTTAATTTTTACATAATAAAAATAAACCTCAAATTGAAATTCAATTTAATAAAAAAAACAACACATATTGTTAAATATTTATTCGGAGAATAATCATAAACCAATATTTCAGGTCATACCAATATTGGGTCTGATTTGACCTTTTTGCTCTAACTTAATTACAGGAAGCTCTGTGGATCTGGACATTTGAAATTAATTTTTTATTATTTTGAAAAAATATAAGTAAGTAATTTTCTGGAATAATCATAGTTATTTAATAATTGTTTTTAATTTTAATTCAGGATTAGGAGATAAAGTTATGTCGGAATCAAATCATTTTCTTTTGAAATAGTATAATATTTTGGTTCCATCTCCATATATAACAAGAACCAGCGTACACACATCTTTGTATAATCAAAGAAAATGACAAAACTAAAATATCAGTTTGTGAAGTTTTCCTCATATTCCAGGTCCCAGATAATGCTATTCTTGTATGAATGTATGTGACACTTTTTTGCAGAATCACATAATTTTCCTTTAGCTATCTGAATAGATTGGTTCATTCCTGAACACATAACAGCCTACACCCCCCCCCTTGTATGATCAAACAAAACAGACAAATCAGGTTTAAGATTTACAGTTTTATTATTGTCAACATGAAATGAACATATTTTTATCATCATAACAACAACATTAATTTCACATAAGTAACAAATATAAACAAGGACTTTTCTAGTTTTGTAAATGGCACTAACTTTCAGCTAAATACCATTTTCTCGTTTTCATTAAATAAATTATCTAAAAAACATTTCAGTACATTTTACTGTCCTTCTTATAACAGTGTTCTTCACTTCGTAAAAGATTATGACATATAATCTCAAAAGAAAAGAAAAAAATGAATGTAGGCCTAACCTTACAAATCTAAAATTTTGATCCAAATAACATTACTGTGAATTGAATAATTTTGATATGATACAAAAACTATTAAAGTTTCCATTTTTTTTATACATTTTTTAAGTGGACAGAAATAAAGTGAAGAAAGAAATAGAGTGAAATATTTCTAATATTAAGGATATATGCTACCTGACTTTGACATGTTTTTCCTTTACTAAAGATTTCTCCTCAAAGTATTTACTTTTTATGTAAATTTCGCTTGTTTAGTTAGGGTTGAATCAATTGAATGAATAAACCAGAATGCATGCATCATAAAGATATTTGAGGTATAATATTTAATGGGAAATAACTCAATCAAATCAAAGGTATAATGTGTAATGTAGCATACATCCTTAAGTACTGAAATCATTTTATCTGGTGGTGTGCCATTTTGTATCATGCTTCACATGTTTATTATATCACAATCACATAACAACAAATTATCAGGGCATGTCAGATCTGGTCTACCTCATCTCACAAAACATTTCATTCACAGAGTAATTATTTCACCCAAAATCTATTATATCTGTTAATTTCTTTTTTCTGTAACTGATATCAACTTTTACTCTAATTTTCAATCTCTTACACCAAGACAATGGTGTTTTAGCTTTAGTTGACATGTGGAGACAAGACTTGACGTGGTAAACCAGATTTGAGTCACCTCGCCCTATGTATGTAAGTAAACGGGGACAAATGTAGTAATTAGCACCATTTGAAAGTGTAATATCATCGGTATTATATACCAGTACTTCTGTCATTGAGTCGGAACTCCAGGTGTACTCAAAATCAGTTACATTAATGTATATAAAGTCCAGCTATAGCCTCAACACTGTAGAAGGTGCTGCATCGAGTTTGCATTGTCCAGCAGGGCGTGATTCGTTGATGATTTCCCGTAAACCAAACAATGTTTTTATATTTTTCCAGTGACACTGTATGGCTCTAGAGATGTGGAAGGCTTATGTACTGTGTCTGGTGAGGTTGATGGTCCTTTTCAGGTGTTTTTTTTTAGAGAAGTTGATGGTTTTCTTTTCCAATCCTGGAAATACATAAAATATGAATTTCTTTACAAACATGTTCTTATAAACAACCAAAGCTACATAATTATAGGTTTTAAGGCATTTGTATAAAAAAAGAAGATATTTTTTTAACGATTTTTAATTATCACTCATATATTACTTAGTGATGATGATTGTTTGTATAATAATCATAAAGAATTGTCAGAGAAATATGAAAATAGATATAACTCTGAACCATCAATTAAGCTGATGATTGAGATAACTGCCTCCCCCTCCCCCATTCAGTAGTATTAACATCTAAACTATCTCTGTTTTATAAATATCCTAGCTTGAATTTCTTCAGTGTTTTTTTCTAAATTGATTTTTTTATTTCATGTTTTTACAAATGAACATGAGAACATAGCAATAGATGCGACATTTTCTCTCTCATTGATAAAGTTCATGTTAGCAATTTCTGTGAAAATTCTGCAAAATTACAGCTTATTGATAAGCTATCACAATATTTTTGTTAACACATGGGGTTCAGTCAACAGATACAGTATTGACATCGGCCGGAAGGTGGCCACCCAGTCTTGGTGTATTGGACCACGCCAGAATGTTGATCAACGTGTATTTAAACAGTTAATGACGGCAGAGTTTCTATACGCAATGTATCCTTACCATCTGGTAGGTAAATTAAAGGAGAAAGGTATAAAATTGATATTTAAATTACCCACCAACGATCGCAAGTCAACAAAATTCTCCTAAAATGGATGTTTAAATAACCCTTTGACGAGTCAACAAAGTTCCGCCATTTTAACATACATTCCAGTCCCACTTCCTTTCCCCGTAGTAAGCTTTTATTGACAAAGTCAAGTAAAGATTTGAACAATTTCTTTTCACTGACAAATTACCTTGTGAATGTTGCGGAAAATATTTCGTTTTGTGATTTCAGGAGTTGTTTACTGTCTGTAAACAGCGAGGTATTCAGTGGATTTGACGACAAGAGATTGTATCCCCTTCATCATTGTTACTCTAGAACAATGGTAACAATACCATTATGACAGCATCTGTCATACCAGAACGGACATATCAAGATTTCACACCATTCCGTCTTTCACTTGGATACCTTTAAACTATACACAGTAATTTCATAAGGAGTGGAGGTAAATGGTAGAAATATAATCTCCATACCCCGTACCCCCAGCCAGAGAAAAAGTTCAACTTACACAAGTTAACTATCAATTACTAGTACATTGTACAATTCAACAAAAATAACATACAATAATGGTGTAAGTTTAAGGTTAAATGCTACCTTACACATCATACCCGTGATTTGTGTTTTTCCCTTTGTTATACCTGTATTTAAAGAATCAGGAATACCTGGGTATTATCAATAAACTCTTTTAATTGTGCACAAAATAATATGCTAAGTTTGAATTCCCATTTACTTGTTATACTTGTTTCTAATAGTATGGAACACTTTGGAAAAAAAGATACATTTTCACAGTAAGGTAGCATTATATACCCTTTCATCAAACCCTTTATTAATTGTGTAATTAGAAAACCTGTATTTTTTTTATCAGAGAAATATTCTGAATCTTGGTTATGTTTTAACAGGTTTCACAATGGTACAATGCAGGAGGGACTTTAAGCTTACATTGTAGAAAAAGGCGAGTTTTGATGAAGCCACATGTCAGTCTCTGGAGCCAAGGGCCTGATCTTGCTACCTCCCCTTGTGGACCGCATACAGGAGGAACCTATACAGTGGAGCTGGTAGATCTTCCTTCCTTGGGACGGTCCTCGGTATATACTTCTACTTCTTGTAGATAAATGTGTGGCGAACAATGCACAACTCCTTAGATCTATTAGGTATTCTATAGGCTGGAGATTAAGACTTAATACTGATGAAGAGTCTGTGGAATCAATACACTGGTGAACCGACTTTGGGTAGCTGAAGTACATCAATGCATTTATATACATTTAATGTTTAATAATATCACATAGGTTATTTTGATTATTGTTTCGATTTAACTCACATCCTCGTGACTGGGAGTAGGGGTTGTAACAGCACTTTCTCCCCTACATCACCATTCACACCTGTTAACACCGTTGCACCTATAGACAGGAATCACACCTGTAGACAGCAACCACACCTGTCAATGTGAAGGCATCAAATGAGATCATAATTCCGGAGGATGAGACTATCTCCGTCCAGAAACAGATTGTCATTACAATTATCACACACATGTCCTTCATACGTAGGATGGAAACCATTTTTCAGATTTTGATTTTGACTTGTGGCCACTTTTTTTAGAATTGTCTTTAGTGAAGTTATCCATAGAATTTCCCACTCTTGAGTCCTTTTTGTCTCTAGGGAATTCCGATCCAGTGTGAAAAACATCCACGGATCCTGTAAAATGTTTCTGTCCATAACGGCCGCTGTTCTCACCACTCCGTGGACTTCTGTGTTTGTTGTTACTGGAGGGTTGTGAAGATGAAATATTTGATGAAGTTGAAGGTGTCGATGACTTTTGCTTCTTGTTGAAATAATTAAATGTGAAAGTCTTCAGTTCATCTGAAAAATATTAAAAAAAATCTGTAATGCTGTCTAATTTTTATAACATGATATTATCAAAGCTGAATTTGTCATCTGAATATTTTTATTTTATAAAAACAGCTTTTTATTATCATTTTAATGTTTTATAAAAATGTAAAATATTGGTTTGAATTTAAAGAAAACATTGAAAAATTGTGTACAAGAAAAATCTACGTATAACTTTCGTTAATTATGGTTATATAGGCAATACCTTGCATGCTCATCTGACATGACAGATCAACGTCGCTTCCTCCACGACCACTGTCCGAGTTTGCTGTCTCTCCAGACGTATCACTCAAGTTGTCAAACAGAGGCTGTGCCAGTATGTTCTTCTGAAAATAGAAAACAGGCTGAATAATTAATTTGTCTCGCTTTGTACCAAAAAATCACAAAACAGTTTCAATTTACATATGCATTAATATAAATTTTTCTTTTTTCTTTTTATGAGAATTTTATAGATTTTCTCATTTTTCAATCAAATTTTATACATGTTTCAATTTAATGGCATCATATATTTTGTCTAAACTTAAAAAGGGGAGACGTCTAGGTCGGGTATAATTTTACGAATACAAGACCCACTGCTGTGTTGAAATGATCACTGGTCACTAGATCCGGACACATGATATAGAGGACGTTTATATAGACACTGCAGGACACTATTTTATTAGAGAACTCCGTGAACCCTCGGACCTTCTACTCCTCCAAGCCAGCTGCTGTAGTCAGCAGATTTCACACCTGTAGTCATACATAACACATTACCTGGACAGGGGGATACTTCAGGATTAAAAAGGTAATTAAACCAAACAGTGGCGAAATTCTAAAACTACCATAAATCTCTCTGCTGGAATGTTGTCCTTTTTTATTTTCATCAACAGAAATCCTTTAACCCACCCACCAGGCTTGGACAAACATGGTTGTGTATGAATGGGACCTACGAGTCAATTTTACCTCCATTAATTCCCCAAAAATAATAAAAGGAATGCGGGCTACAACAGTATAAATCAGGTCTTTATGAGGACTGGTAACAACACTAATGTGGCTGAGTGACGGCCTGATCGGGGCCTTGAAAGGATATCCTGTACCCCTCGCTGACACACAGAGGACGGCCAATGTTATTTCCGTGTCACAATTATTTTCGGACATTTTAAATTTATTTTCAAATTCAAAGAAGCATTCAAAAATCAATTTCACAGTACCGGTAATTACAACGCCGTAGAAGTCATTTATGTCAATTACGGCGAAATAAAACATGATTCCGACAATGTTTTGAAATGTCAGAATAAGAATGGAAATTACAGATACATCGAATGACATTACGCTACAAGCAGACTGACACTGACGTTAGCTGTCAGAAAGTAACGTACTCCATCACAATCTCAAGGTTCTTAAGATCATGATTCAAAACCAAATCAAATTGATTATGTTAAAACTTGATACGAGGGGAATATTTTTAATGAATGAGTTTAAATAGTGTGAAGAAACCTTGAGGTTTACAGATTCAATAATAGATAATTGGGTTATTGAAATTGGAGACAAAAAAAACACTTTTTTTTTTTTTTTGCATAGCTTGAAGTCTGTTGGGCTGGAAATCCATTTCTTTTATCTTTATATCATTTTTTAAACATGAAAGAAAATAATTTTTAAGAATCATTAATTTCTAATTTGGGTGAGTTATTACCTGCTCCTCCTCCTTATCGTAAGCCTGTAGGTGGAGCTTGTGATGTTGTAAAATCTTTATCTGCTTATTTGATTGGTCGTGGTACATATCACCCTAAAAACATTTGAAAATTTTAGTCTTTAAACATTGTGAATAGCTGTGTTCTCAAATAATAATAAAGCATAACAGGTTATCAAAATGAAATTTTAACATACATTGTACTGTCATTTGTAATTTTTCTGGTTTATTCTTATACGAGTCAAATCAATTTGATCACAGTAAGCATGCATTACGATTGAATTTGGTTTTCAGTATAAAACACAAAGTTAAATCTTTGCTATAGAATAATTTAAAGATCGCGAATTTGTAAATTAATTATTGTGAATGTTTAAGAAATATATTAATTTTCATTATTTTGTAATACAACCTGACATTATGACACATACATGAACCATTTACATATATCTCACAGGGGGCATTTTACGCAGGGTTGGTATGGATTATAAGGTTATGATAATATGTGATATTGTAAGAATGACCACTACAGACTTATCAAGGCTACTAGTGTGTTCACTCCTATTGAGGGCCGGATTATGTCCCTTATCTTGTACAAACGTGCGGGTGATCAGGTAAACAAAACCCCTCTTTGTCACGGCTGATACCTGATGTACCGCCAAAGACCATCTTATTTACTGAGCAAATTTACACTGGAGATGGACACAGATTTGGTTGGTGATGCAACACCAATAGTTAACGGAAGTTCTGGACGGAGAACACTGTCTTGGTAAATATTTGGCCACTATCTTTGTCACAGAAAGTGTTTGTCCACTTATCATACGCAACAACAACACTGGAAAGATGTTGCTACTGTGTGATATAATGGCCAGATCAAGTATCACAAAGGAAAGTTTAGATATCAAAATAAATCCTCCTGGAGTTGATAGCAACTTCACTAACATTTGTAAAATCTATCTTTAATTCTTTGTTTTCCTTGAGAATTTCCTAATCATTTCCTGATAGCAGACTGATAGGTAAAATTCTGTATCCTCCCTCCGTGTACCATAATCCACTAATTACCCCTAACTACTTGCCACTAATTTAAATACCCCAATTTTACAAAACTATTACAATTATGTCTGTGATTACAACAAATGTATCACATTTATTCATTCAAAATGTTTGTAATTACAGAGAAATTTATTCAGGCCATTTCTTTATAAAAAAAATTGCTACAGATGTGTTAAATATTTTTGTACAAAGAAGCAGCTCAGGTGATACAGCAATGGGACAACTTGTTTTACTTACCATCAGAGGATCGGGGATGTTCAGGTCTGTCGTACCAGTATAGTCATGCTGCATACTCCCATAGGCTTCATCCAGGGAAAAACTCACTTCCTTTTTCTTTTTTTTAGGCGTGTCCAATACATCTTCAACCTTATACGTTAAATCTCCTTTTTTAATTTTATCGTCAGCTGAAACTTCAGGTTTGTCAAACATTTTTTCAGAATGTTTCATTTCCAATTTTTTGTCGTGACGTCGTAAGATACATATAGTGGTTATGATGGCCGCTGATATAACAAACGTGAATGCCACGACGACGATAGAGATGATAACGTTTGTATTTCCCGTCTTTGGGACAAGGGAAGCAGTTGATTCATTGGAATATTTGAGTATGATTTCCAAATGGTGAACTGTTTCCTTAGGTTGGGGTGCATTGTCTTTGACAGAGATCTCCAGTCTAAAAGTCTCGTCACTTTCCAGAGAATACGCTCTCTTGAGGTAAATATTACCAGACGTCTGACCAATAGCAAAAATATCATGGTGGTTCCCTGCCTTAATGGAATAGGTTAATCGACTGTTGGGACCTTCCTCATCCAAGTCATAAGCTAAGACTTTGGTAATTGTTGTACCAACGGGAACCAAATAGGAAATTGACACAGAGTTATTCCCCTTGTTGGGGAACTGAATCACGGGTGCCTGATCGTTGTCATCAGTGACGTGAAGGATAACATTGGTCGCGGTACTCAGAGGTGGTGTGCCTTTGTCTCTCACTTCAACTTCAAAGGTGTAGATAGACTTGGTCTCTCTGTCGAGGCGAATGTTCGTTTTGATTGCTCCATCCGACATGACATAAAACGGTACTCGATCAGCATATGAAGGTGCTATGGAGAAGATGACCTCTTTATTTACACCTTCATCATCATCATTAGCGCTCAGTGTCCCAACATAGGCATCTATTGCCAGATTCTCCTGAACAAAAAACTGGAACGAGTCACCGTCAAATGTGGGGTAATTATCGTTGACGTCTGTAACTGTGAGGACAACAGTGGCCGAGCCAGTCATGGGAGGGTTACCACTGTCAACCGCCAATACTGTAAACTCATAGTGATTCCTCTGCTCACGGTCAAAGTGAGTGTATGTTGTGATCACACCAGAAATAGAGTTGATAGCGAATCGTCCTTGAGCGTCGTCTGTGAGGTAGTAATACACAACTGCGTTACGCCCGATGTCTATATCAGTTGCACCGACTTGCTTTATCATGGCACCGATTTTACTGTTCTCTTCCACAAATGCGAAGTATGTGTCCTGATGAAACACTGGCTTGTTGTCATTTTCATCGAGGATCCTGACCAGGAAGTGGAGAGAAGAGCTGAGGACGGGAGATCCATGGTCACGACAGACAACAGAGATATTCTGTATCTCCCTTGTCTCCCTGTCCAGAGTTCGGTTCACTCGCACTATATAGCCCTTGTCTCCTACAGGGGACAGCTCAAAGTCACTTCCCGAAATGGTACAATCCACCCTGCCATTAGGCCCCGAATCTGTATCTATCACATTTATATGGGCAATGACCGTTTTCAGATTTGCAGACTCGGACACATTGACTAACCCTGCGCTTCCTGATGACAGGAAGTTGATGCTTACAGTTGGTGGGTTATTGCCTACATCTAATACAGTCACATAAACAGTTGTCTGTGTGACCCGAGGTTGATTTCCGTGATCACTGGCTTCTACGCTAAACTTGTGAACTTTCCCGGTCTCGTATACCAAGTCTCCGATGACTTTCACAACTCCGCTGGCAGATTCTATTTCAAACAAGCTGGTGATCATGTCTAGATCTGATTGCCTTGAACTTAATCCATAGGTGATTCTGGCATTATCTCCAATATCTTTGTCAGTGGCCGACAGTGTCAAAATAGATGTATCTATGGCAACACCCTCAGCCACGGTAACATTGTACTGCTGCTGCACAAACTCTGGAGAGTGGTCGTTGTAGTCGGTAACGACGATATTCACAGTCATTGTTCCGATGTTCTGCTTGATACCTCCGTCTTTAGCGATCACATAAAACTGGTAGTGGTCGGTGGTTTCTCGATCTAACTGTTGCAACAACCGAAGCGTCAACTGAAATCCTCCGCCTGCCTTTGTTGTCACATTTAAACCAAAAACACCAAACTTTTCCGGAACAATTTCATAGGATTTGATGGAGTTCAGACGGGTAGAGTCCAGATCTGTTGCAGAATCCAACGAAATAGTTGATCCAATAACAGAAGATTCCTGCATTTGAAAAGTAACATTACTCTGAGGAAATGTTGGAATGTTGTCGTTCTCATCAGTGAGTTCCACTTCTACTGACAAGATTTCAAACAGAGTGATCATGTTGGAGTAGGCTGCTACATCAAAGTCCAAGATACAGATCTCCTTGTAGCCACAAATGGACTCTCGGTCCAGTATCACAGACGTGAGCACTTCCCCCGAGACCTCATTTATAGTGAAACGTGTCTGCATGATGCTTTGGTCCAGAAATTTATAGTGAATACTGTTAAATTCCTCCGTTGTGTAATTCTTCTGTAATCCACTCTTTTCTCCGATGTCTCCGACTACAGTTGAAGTTGGGAGTTCCTCAGAAATTGTAAATTTAATGACGGCATTCTCAGATAATGTACCACAGAACAATCCTGTCAGCGAAAGAAAAACTAATACAGGCTTCATCTTACTTGTTATTTACTAGATCCGAAATGTTTTATAATCCAGTTAAGTTCTTCTGAAATTCATCTCTCCATGTTTGTCCTGAAAATAAATAAAAATATGTGATTTTAGTTGAAAATATGTGTGTACTTTCATCACTATCATGTTCTTTTTTTTTGTACAAATATTCATAATCAATATGATATTCATCAAAGAAGGAATTTGTCATGAAATAATTAGCTGTATTACAGGAATACCCTTAAGTAGTAAAATATCACAGAGAATCTTACTGAATACCTGTATTAATGTATGGGATAGCAAATAAGGATTAGGCTCAATCTGCACACATTAAGGAATTGTGTTGGTATGGATTTTTCTACCTCCTATTCATGAAGAGTTGCATAGAAATTGAACATAATCCTGCATTGAAAAGTCAAAGTGCGACCTGGCCTGGGAAACTTGTCTCAATAACAAATAAAAGCAAAAATCCATCGCGATGCTGACATAGAAATCAATTAAGCTAAAATGATGTACCATACCGAGAGTCCATAAAATCATACAATACAACAACAGTGCATGAAGAACAGGCTTTTCCCCATTGACAGATCAAATATCATACCTTGATCCTTACAATAACAGTGAACATGCAGAATGTCACAAAGAATTTTTATTTATTTTTAAGAAGTCATGAAAGTAAGAGTTGTTAAAATTTCATTAAGGATATAAAGTACAAATTTTACAAAGTCTGTTTTGAGATAAATATTTGGAGACTATGTTCACCACATAATACCCAAACATCACAGATACAGAATAAGTTAGGATACTTTCACTTACGTTAAACTCATTTCCCTCCACACCTTTTTCACCTGAGCCTACGATCTACCTGTGCCCCATCTCCTTAACTCACTGAAGTCGGTGCTCACCTGTACAGGCTAATATTTACCTGTGTAAGGTAGCCGAGATTTTGCCCTAATGACTAACTACGCCCCAATGGAATATCTTGTCTCCTAAAGTTACCTGTACGCCTTAACGTCCAGTGACCAGTGTCCACTACTGATGGCCCGAGCCTAGAGACGCTGGATTCTAACTTCACATTGTGTCCTTAATGAGATCCTACTTTCAATAAACCTATTGCAATATTGCTAGTTAGGGATTAGGGGATGAAAACTGGGATTGACTTCCCTAATTCCTGGATAGGCCGACAAAAATGTGTCAAGCCCTTGAGTAAGAATAGCGCTACTCCAAGAAACAAAGAAAAGTTAGTGATAAAGAGAGTCGTCTTCTAGGTATAGATCCAGTATAAAATATGTGGAATGTACGGCCAACAAACTTGTGTGTTCAATGTATCGATGTTAATGGCCCTTACTTCAGGTAGGTACACAACATGCAACAAAGCCATTGGAGACTCAGGTGTGCTCGTTAGCAGGTGTAAATCCCTGCCATCCAGCATCTAAATGACCCTCTCTTGATTACGGAAATGTTTAATCAAACACCTACTAGTTAATAAATCAATAAAATTCTACGCCATAAACAGCTCATGGGCTGCTTCAACAGTGGGCCGTGACCAGGAGTATTTTATAATGTAAACACTTCATCACTGACCAGTGGCCAAAGTGTTTACCCACATAACTGACCAATTGACCAAATGAGGTTGCATACATTTCCATGTAGATAGTTAGTCCGTTATATGTACATCCCTGACCACGTCCATCTGTCCGTGCTCAGACATTTTATGGGCAGCTACGGGTCAGAAACAAAGACACAAATTTGTCACCTGTGCACCATTACCTGGGCATAAATGATGCTTACCTTGGCATTATTATAGTTCCTAATTAATAAATCAGACAACGACCACCTGGAAGTTACCTGTCAGGTGAGAATAAGAACTGACCACTGACCTAGGTGTGTGACACTAATGCTTCCTTATGGCCAATAAAAATCCTACCAAGGCCTTACCATCTTATATACTAAATTGTAAATGGGAAATTACTTATAGGTAACTTGATTAAAAACCAGTTATAAAATATACACATTTATCAGGAGTTTTAGATCTTTTTATAGACAAATAGATAAAATGTGTGTTGTTAACAAAGAAATGATATGAAGTATGCACGCAAATTATACCTAGAATATCAGATAAACATTTATAAGGTGAACTAAAATAATGAGTGTAAATCAAATATAGTACTTTTATGTGTTACTGTCAGGTGGAGCTGATCGTTAATGTATTGTACACCAGATAATGTTCCTCAGGGCACGATGCATGTTAAAGTCACAACATTAAAACTAGAGTTGTGATTCATATGATTTCTTTTTTCAATTTTTGGATGTTATTTTAAGTATTTATTTCAATTAAAATAAAATCAGATTTTCAACAAATGCAATCTAATATTATCAGATTTTCTTTTCCAATTTAAAACCACTGCATGATTTAACATGTTACCCAAAGATAACATGATATTCTAAATTAATATTTAATTAAATTTAGAAATACGGCTGAAGCTCAGGGGAGCTTTTGTATACAAAGACACTATAAGAAAACAAACAAACAGACTAAATATTTGTGTAAGAGTCTCGTAATCTGTCTACGGTTCTATCTAAGTTATTAAAACAATACATAATCTTCCGAGAGATTCTGGAAATGACCCCGGAGGTCACACAGGCCTTTCCGATGACCATCCAGTCTTATCACTCACATATTCCTTTGAAAAAGGAAAACAATGAAATGTTGAGGAGACTTAATGTTAGTGGGTAGATAAACTTAGCATGATACCCTTATGTTGGATCAGTTACCGTGACAACCCGACACCCTGGGTATGTCCTGGTCAGGTAATGGTCTGATGGAGCAAATGTAGGGGCTAGCATTGTAAACAAGCGTAATTATTTATCAAATCTTCTGTCAGTTACAAGGTGTGTGGTATGTTGTGGGATGTTAGAAATGTCAACTTACGGATCACTTTAATGTCAAGTAGATACCTAGACAGCGATATTACTGGGATATGTACAGATCTATCTATACTGATACCCGAAACAATACTCAAAATTGACCTAAACACTTATGTAATTTACCTTATTTTTAAACAAAATAAATTTTCCAATTTTGTAGTCATAAACATTTTTTATATGCTTCTATTTACATTTTATTTCGCAATGTGTTTATGTTTTTTTTTGTTTTTTTTTTAAATTCATAATTTCATCAAAACCTATCTTGTAAATATTTGAAGTTATCTGGTTCAAAAAAATAAATAATATACTGATACTTTCAAATAAATTTTGTTTTCAAATGTTTTTTCTAGAGGTAAATTTTCTTTACTGAATCAGTAATTTCCGGTAATATTTCACAATTTCTCATTAAATATACTTAAAAAGCTGGTATAAGGTACTTACTGTTAAATGATCAATGAGATATTATAAATCCACAATTCTCCCAGCACTGTGAAATGTCCAGTTTCCTGGTCCTGTGTAGATAGCACTGTGTAGAATGGGTCGAATCTAGAGCTTTAAACTCTGTAAAATAGGAAAAACAAACAGTGTTCACAGCTCATTGGTTGTGGGTAAACATTGGTATAAGAACAGCCGACTGCTGTTAGGTATACACAAGCTGGGTACTTATTTACCACTGTTACTTCTGACACATTTGAAGTACAAATATTATCTAAGCAGGGTTGTAACACAACACAAAAGTGAAGAAAAGTCTGCTAACACTATATGTGTGTACTTAAGATCTCGCCTTCAGACTGAACATGTTTGCTTACCAAACTCAATTTATATGGACTTATGTTTGCTGTAATGTGAGAAAAAAGTCAAGTAATAATTTAATTATAATTCCCCTGAAGGCAGACAAAATGGTTCTCTTGTGATAATCCATCACTACCTGTATATCCCATAATACTCTACCCCTAACCAAAGGTGTCCAACCTAACACCAACTTTTAGCACCTTCAAATTTGGACCAATTGTTGACCAATTAGCAGACTGGATCAGCCAATCAGATCAGTCCTAACAAATCTGGACAAGTTTGAACTACACTTCGTTTCAAACTGCTACAAAGATGTCTCCAGGGCTAATCTAATTAGTGTCCATGTTTTTACAGTGTTAAGGGAAGTCAATTAGACAAGAAAATCATTTAATTAGTTTGTAATGTGTTAACTATAACAAGATAATAGCATTACATGTTGTAATTGAATAGTCTTCACATCATTATTGTAACACATACCAATAATAAAGAAACATTCCCCAACATATTGAGATTAGAATACTTGGCAAATTGCAATTCATACAGTGGTGTAAGTCTGCTCATTAATACACTGATGTGGACAGATGGACCTTAAGGTGGGACATAAAAAGACTAGGTCTAGATCAGAAATGGTACCACACATTAGGTAAATACAAACTACATTATAACCAGTAATTACTTGTACAGTTTTTAAATGTCTGGTGATGATTTTTTTATGTTATTGATAGATACATACTTATACATAAACAGGTATTCAATACAAGTAGTGGTGACAAGTTGATTAAAACACAGGATATAATGTTGTAGATTAATTGTTGATTAAAAGGAATTTTTTCCACATGTACATATTGAATTTCTAAATACAGATGTTTAATATAGGGTTTAATCTTGGCGTAAATATATTGTGATTAACATTTCATATGGCCGACAGTAACTTAAGCAGTGACCCTATTGTAGCCTTATTGTTAGTGAGACAATCCAATTACTATATCACTGCACAGGACTAATTTAGTGTGAGGGCTGCTAACAGGAAACAAATAGGACACATATTATACCTGAATTAATATTCATATTTAATTAGTGCCATTCTAATTAACTTTCTGGCATGTTTATGTACTAAATCTCAAAAATTCCATAACAGGTTCTGACAAAATATCATAGAATCAAATGTATTTCTTACATAAAGCTGGTAGCTGGACGCTTAAATAAATCTCATTGGGATTCTTGGACAAAAATCTAACAATATCAAAGGACTTGATGTTCGATGTTAAAATCTTGTTCAAATTTGAATAGGTACAAAACTGACAGGTGGCACATCAGAGAGCCAACATCTTCAGCTGGCATGAAGTGGCATGGTCACAATAGACGACCACCAGCCTCAGACCCTGTCCCAGTAGCAATGGGACAATAGCCCATTGCCTTATCGAATGTCCGAGTGGTCAAGCTAAGGCCACCGTTACCTCAGGTTGTGTAAGAGAAGGAAGGACCATCTTAAGAATAAAGCAGCACTTGTTTGTCAATGAGATCAGTGGTAGTGGCGACAGTGTTGACACAGATTATACAAACACTTGTAGTATTTAGTCACAGTAACAGAAAGTATCCCACAGGGCTAATCCAACAGTAACATCTCAGAGAAATCATATAAAAACTGTTATTTAATTAAAACCTTCACAACAGGATCCACTCTGTCAAATTTAATCGTACTTGTGTACAAGCCCTCTGTCAACTGTTCTTTTCATGTTTAAACACCAAAGAAAATATTTTTGACAATTTTTTTTATAATTTCAAACGATTTATGTTTAACTCTCTAAAAACTATAATCTTGTCAGTGTGATTGTCTTAAATGTATAATTCAAAAGACTTTTTTCTTCTTCCGAAGGCTGCAATAGGTCAATGAATAAGAAACTTCAAAAATGAACCATATCAAATTCCTGCGACAGTTTTGATCTTTGTAAGAAACCCTATCTTTTCTCTTTATCAGGTTTTACGAATCGTCTGTTCAAGTTCAAGTGTTATTCTTTATGAAAAGTTATCAAGATCACAGAAAGCATGACCAAGCAGATGATCTCATTTCAAAATCCTTGAAAACCTATTCAGTCAAGAGAAATTTAAATGTAACGGATTCAGATTTATGGTAAATACTCAGAAAATCTGTATACATTGATTGTACCGAAGAATTCAATGTACTAATTCAAACATTTTTTTTAAAAACAAAATTTGCAATAATAACTTCAATTTAAAACATACGTTTGGTATTGATAAAGTAGAATTTTTTATATATTGCTTTTCAAAGAAATGTGATTTTTTGAGATATAACATGAATTTGTGAATATTTACTTCGCCCATCTGGGTGGCATCACCACTCCTGTGTACACAGATTTAGTGTGTCCTTCCATCTGTAGACTTCAAGCCTCTACCCGACAAAGACATGTGGACGAATCAGTGTTCAACAACGCCAATATTGATCGTAAGAATTTGTCCACTTGTCCTTAAAAACGATACACTAAACCAAACATCTGAAAGTGCTCAAGTGGATCGCAAATGAAAAATTAAAGGATGTTATTGAACACCAGGATATCAATGGCACTTGTAGTTTTATAAATGACATTGTTTTGTATATTAAGGTCATGTAGAAGTCTTTTTATAATTGGCAAAAGGAATTCAAGGGTTACCAAACCTTTAAGTGACTCAGGACTGTCTATACAAGTAACAGAAAAAATACTCTTAGTACATCCACTGGATCATAATAGGATAAACTAGACTGATCTAAAGGGCTCTTGGCAATCCAACATGCGCAGAGAAATATTATTAATAATATAGAAATCAACGATTGATATACTTACAGTTTCAGAATAACAACCAAAGAATTCCAGGTACAAAGAATTGAGTAAAATAAGTAGGCTTCCTTCAGAGTCAAGTTCATTATTTGATAACCAGAATACAGCTTTTCTGTTTCAAGTCGTATAGACACTATCCTCAAGTCGTATAGACACTATCCTCACTGCTAGGTCACAAACACACTGATCAATGCTTTCTTTAAGAGTTCCTGTTTTAAAGCACTTGGATAACATAGCCGTAAGTATGGTTTGCATGTGGAGAAACTAAAAAGGTCGAGTATTTTCTGGTTTTGGGGTGGCCACGGGTGAGGAAACATTCAGTTCTGCAGAGATAGGTTACAAGTGTGGTAGTTTGTTCCCCTGATCTCCATTGCTTTACTTGAGTGAATCATTTAAAAACCAATCTGATTTTTGGAAATTTAAGAACCACCATGACAATTACTAATTTGTTTCAATTGAAATCTGTGTGAAAGAGTGCGGGATAAAATCATAGAAATCCCCCCATAAAATGTTTCATTTGCATGTCGAAGGTAATTGGCCACCGGCAGGTAATGCATGTTTAAAACAATTACATTGGATTGGCATGAAAAGACACATGTGAATTTGTCACACTTGTATCTTTTAATCTTGATGGACAGAAAAATGTATTCTTAATTGTTTCCGTCATTTTAGAAAAAAAGTGAGAAAAAATGTTATGTATAGGTACCAAACGACACCATTTTTTTTCTGCACGGATAAGAAAATTAGATTCTATTTTCAATATTTATTGTTGAGTTATTGCCATCTGCAGTTGTAACTCTTTCTAGTCCTAAACAAATTTGTAACAAAACAGAAATACCAGTAGCTACCATAAATAATTTGTGAATGTCAAGTAAATATTCTCCTTAAACCAGTAAATAACCATTATCTAGTCATTAAAATCTTAAGTGATTTTATGACAACATTAGTGGAGTCTTTGTCATGGTAGGGGCAGGGAAAGGTTTTAACAAAGCACCCAATTATACTGCGACATGGATGAACCGTACTCTCCCAGTAATCCTATAGTCTTATCTACATCAGGATCATAATACCTTTTCATAAGATTGATATGGTAAACCAAGATTTTCCCAAAAGGTTAAATAATGAAAAGTAAGGTCCATTTTCATATCAATTTAGAAGGTGGGGTTAGGTGAATAAACACTGTGGGGCTACATAACACGTATAATGAACAATTCTGTAACATTATTAGGGGTTTTATCAGCTTGTAAAGTATTTGGTGAACTATGACCCAAGGCGTTTAAAGGACTCTTCATGAGCCGAAGAATAAACCATTGTATACATTTTTTTTTATTTGATCAGTGAAAACTTTATTTTATGAAATAAATTATGCAATATAAGAAGCAGGCGTTGCCTAAATTCTATAAAATCTGTGAAATGAATACTCTGCATAAATTTGATTTTGCACAGTTCAGATAATAATAACATGTTTCACTTTTCAGGTTTTGAACCTTGCCTGAGGAAAGCCTGACATCTCCCATTTATCGGGTGTAAAATGAGGCGGGCTTATCAGCAGATACATCTATGATTAAATACTCTATACATGCAACTGTTTCCAATAAGGTCACCCAGGCTTTACACAAACATATATGAAAACATGAGATTTCTGTTATATTACAAAAGTGTAGTTGTATCCAATATCTACTTCCCCATCAAAATCAAACAGAAAGTTGCTGTTCGTGAAGGTATACCATGTAATGAAAACAAATATAAAACTCCTGAGAAAGTTGTCCACGTTTATAAAGTGCTCAGAAGTGTTTTGCATGTAAAATTCATGTCCTTAGTCTATAGTCTAAGGGCAAAAAATCTATATTCAGTACGGGAAATATTTAAGTGATTCTTAATATAATTCTGAATCAATTTTCCATTTACAACTAATAGGGTCATGCAGATCATTCG